AAGATGCCACAGCTAGGTGAAGTGACTACTATTATTGATGATTAGTTTAGCTGCAGTGCAGTCTGCAAAATTTAAAACATGGCTGAGCTATCAGGGGAAAAAGCTCCAACATCAGAAGTGATAAATTAGAAATTTAACAGAGGAGAAAATAATTGTATTAATTTAAGCAATTAAAAATAAAGGACAGATTTTTATTACTGTAGGCAATGTAACCGCTTAGGTTGAGGTTAAATATAGCTGGTTTCTCTCTGATAACTGTTTGGTGCCATTTCTGTTAATTTATTGATTTTAAGGGATATACTCAAAATTTACACGTAAGTTCAAGAAGTAATGTTTTATACTTTACAATTTCAACACATACCACCTAGGAAGATAAGTCTACATGCACAGGGTAACTTTGAAAATTGTAACTATATCATCTCTTAAAATGCTTAATCTCCGTAAGATATGAACATTTAAAACTTGAGTAAACCAATAGGTGTTTCTAATATTATGATTAGAGTAACTCAATATTTTAGAATTCTTTTTCAAATCACCATGTTCCCAGTTAACTTAAATATCTCCTAAATGTATTTAATAATCTGAGACTTGAATCAACCTTCTTTAGTTTTCCACTATATTTTGGTTTTGTAAACCCATTATATATCAATATTAACTTAGTTTAAATAAGAAATATAGTAGTCCAAAATATCCTGTGCTAGTAATCACTAAAAGGCTACTCCTGCAAACACTGGAATAACTGAACACATCTACCATGGGAGTAGCACACTCACCTCCTCTTACACACAGTGCTGTAACAGAGCTCCTGATTGAGCCTAAAAGAAGTCAGTTCTAGAAAATCATTCTGGTTTAATTATATTTAATAGATTACCAAATAGATACAGAAAAAAAAAATAAGAAAAGCTTCCTGCACTGACATCACTTGCATAAGCTCAGTCTTCTTAGAAGCAGAGAGAGTGTCTGCCAGATGCTGCTATTGTGAAAGAATGATTTTGCATTAATAATTCAGCTGACACCTGGAGATATTGGCATAAACAATGACTTTTTACAAGATGATGAAGTTCTAATTTAGGAATCACTGCTTCATTTGTTTCTTTGTATCTTTAGTTTAACTCATGACATTTAATGCATGTACTGGCTCTATGGTGACTTTCTTACTGCACCTAGTATTTGAGACTATAATGGTTAAAAATATTTTGAAAGGACCAAATGTTTATTTCCAGTGAACAGGCAATTTTTTAAAACTGATCATAATACATTACACTTCAGGGTCAAGTTGCAATCCAATTGGATTCTGTCATCTAACAAGTTGCACAGGAACCAATTAAACTTAATAGAAATGTTCAAGTACAAATGTTAAGTGAATTTATTTTTCATAGTAAATTCCTATGAAACTTCAACCATTAATTTGAATTCCAAAGTAATTTCCCTAGACTTTACAGCCATACTGTTAGAATTTGGTAAGTCAATACTACACCATCATGAGTTGAAGACTGATCTTCCTAAGTCTATTTCTAGAAAACTTACTCAGAGTTGCATTCTAAATAGGATTGTAAGTCATTTAGCTTAAAGATTTTTTTCTAGTAACAGACAAGTCTGTATTATCTATATTACACTGATTATGCAGTAAAGCTATGTTCCCATGCCCTTTCTTGGCTGAAGGTAACACTGGCTGAAAAGATTATAACCCCTAGATAGCCCTATCTTTCCTCATGAGAAGTTACTGCCTCCTTCAGATTGACCTGCCTAACTGCTTCTAAATCCACACCCATCAAAATAAGATGGTCTTCCAAATTTTTTTTACCATTTTGGTTGGAAAACGCAGACAGGTTCACAGGAACCCCTCAGCTAATAGACTGGAAGGGTAGTATCTTCACCAGAGGAGAAGTGATGAATAGCTCCAGATGGCCTGCAGGAGGTAAGCTTTCTGCTGATACAGCTGCAACCAGGGCATGTGGACACAGCTTAAGACCCAAAACCAGAAAATACAGATCTTTCTGTAAAATGTATCTGTTAATAACTTGTACACTTTATATTGCCTCTTAAAGATAGAGAAGACATGCATCAAAGCTACTATGTGAGATGAATTACAAAGGCAACGTTCTTCTATTTCCTTGACTTATTCACATGTATAGTAGCAATATTTTGGGCACCTTGCAGCTTGAGGCAAAAATCATACTGGACACTTGTTAACGGCAGGGATTGATCCCATGTTAAATTTCATTCTAACTTTTAAAGCTAGGATGATTATAATCCATTATTTCATGTTCTTAGAACTGCAGATTTTGTTAAACAACTTAAATAAAAAACAAGAATTGTTTCATGAAGAAAACATGGTACATTCTATTTTATGATGATAAACCAAAATCCTTGAATTTAATTTTTATCTTTGTTCTGGATAATCCATTTGTTTCCAAAGTTTGTGTGATCTCTGGACTCAAGAAAAAAATACAGTACAGGTATGCATGGATAATTTCCTTGCTTTTCTTTATGCCAACTTTCTAAGATTTATTACAGTAAAACTGTAGCAAAGTGTTTCCAGGGTCAGAAACAGGATGTAGGCTATGTCTACATTATCAAGTAATTCAGAGCAAAAGAGGCAGACAGACAGAAGCAGCTGGTGCTGCAACACATTTGTTGTTTTACTTTGGACTAGACTTAGTCCAGTTGAGTTGATGACTCCATTACATTGATGACCCCCATAGTTTTAAGCTAAGTCATGAATTTTTGCTTCAGATCCTTTTAAGAGCTGGTGAGCATTTAGTACATACCTGAAGCAGAAGTTTTGGGTTAAATTCTTCCAAGAAAAATCTAGTACACATGCACCAAAACAGCATCAACAAATGGTAAGTAGAGATGCTGGAGGGATTCACTTCAAAATTACTCTACTGCTTAAAACCAAATGTAGGTTTACTGTATTCTACCAACAGACAGTGTGATCCAGTCAGCTCATTAAAGCTTGGAGAAGACATCTGACAGCAGAGAGAATACAGCACCAGACAAATGATTTACACACAAAATTGAAAGAACCACTAAGCAGATGGGTTTCAGTATTGGAAGACATGGTTATTCTGTCCTGTTGTAGCCACTGCAAATAAGAATTTGGTTTTTCTACTTTGGAAAAGGAGCAATAACCTTATGCTATTGTAAGGAATAGTTAGTGACAATTGGGCAGAATAACTTGTTTGAATGAAAAATGCAGTACTGATTCTCTTTACGCAATCTCCCCATATAAAATAAAAATTAACTAGAGGACCACAGCCTTTGAGAAACAGATTGATGAAACAGGAGATGTGACAAATACTTCTAAGGTTTTCTAATGGGGAATGCTGTAGGAATCAAACTAAATTCCAAGTATTTGATTTATTAACTTGCAAGACAGCAATAATGATGGCTGTTGGTGTTTAATACTGGGATACAAACAAATTTTTTCTTTTCTGCAACATGTTCTTCATTTGTCTTTACTCATCTTCTTATAACCTTATTCATTATCAGTCTCTCATAGATATCTAAAGGTTGTTTTTAATTTGCTTAGCAAGTTATTTAATCTGTGGACTTTGCTTCAGGTAGCAGAGTAAGTCTCTCGCTGACTTCTCTTTCAGGGTCTACTTCATGCAAGTATTCATTACGAATGTCTGTTCCCAGTAAGAAGGCTGGTGCTTTAACAGTCATCTTCTGTGAGACAGAGTCATCCATAAATTTTAATATAGGTTAATAATGTCCAGGAGTCTTTTCAGCTTTTTCAGGGAGAAAAAAAGAGAGAAGTGGGAAAAGACAGACATATGTACAAGAGGAACTATGCAAGATCCTATATTGTCTTTACATACATGGAGACTCTGCAAAGCATTTATATTTACTGGTTTGAGATGAAGAAATGGACAGACTTTAGAATTAACCCGAAATGAGTGTAATATTCTTAACCTAACTTCCTACATGCGTAACTGTTGGTGTTCATCATCTTCTGAACATGCAGTATATATAAAATGAAGAACATCTCAGGATCTCCTGGTTTATAGCTTGTTGTTTCCAGAACTAATGGAGTACAAGGCCTCTTCAAAGCCCATCATCAAGAACAAGGAATTAAAAACTGTCTAGTCACTGTACTAACAATTGTTCAATTTCTTCTTCTGAATAAAAGGTACTCCAGACTGCCAAAAGTCAGTCTTAAGCTTAAAAAACTTATATTTGAAATCTCTGCATAAATGACCTTAAAAGATCCATAATGCCAACCATCCCTCTTAGTCTGTTTTGTGTGGCTGGGTCCGTCTCCTCTAGGCAACTATTCTAGCTCTTCTTGAGGTGAAATCCATTCACTTTAATAAAACCTAGAGAAGGGGTTACTAGTCTTCTCTCAAACCATTATCTGTAACATCTGAAGCAGTGGCATCTAAGCACTTACTTATGAATTCTTCTTGTAAACTAAAATTAGACAGAGATTGACTTACCTGATGCACACAGTCTAAGAACTGTAAGAAAACAGGAGCAAATCCACTACCCTGACAATTGAGAGTCAGACTACTACGTTGACTGAATTTATGACCAAAGGAGAGCCATTCTTTTTCCACCAGCATTCGGAAGCCTTCAAGTGTCCTATAGAAGGGATCACTGAGTAACTGCACCAGAGATACTACCTAGATCACAAGACAGGATATATTGTATTAAGAGTGCCAGAAGTTAGGAGAACACTTTAGTCAATGAATATAAATATTCCATAATCTGTTTATAGTTCAAGGAAATAAAAGGCTTCATATAAACTCAATTACAAGTATTTTACCATGTACATTAAGTATTTTTATAAAACAAACCAAATAATGTCTCACATGAAAAAGCCTCAATTTAATTGAAGCTTTATGGTATTTGTAAAAGTCAAACCTGAGCAACTATAGACTTTGGAAGTCATTATACTGCTTACCACATTTAAATTAGATTTGAAATAAAACCACTTTTATTAATAAAATAATGATAATAAACATTTGTAAAATAGTACTGGCTACCTCAGAAAAGAAAGTGTTAAAGAATTCATCCTGAGAGTGACTTTAGAGTTTCTGCAGCGTTGCCATGTTATGGTGCTCACCAGCCAACTTCAGCCTGTTTTTATAGCAACTCAGGAGACTTTAAAATGCAGCAAAGACTTCTTTCACTTCCAGCTAGGTATGTCCCCTTCTCTATTCTTCATTGTTTGACAATGATTCCAATAACTATGTTAACATTATTTTGTGGGTTTGTTTACCTGGTATCAGGGTGCTGGCTGCACATGAAGTTCTTATTTACTAGGATTATTGATATCTATGTTGATCTTCTGAATTACAAAGCAACCACATGGACAAAATGCATGCATTAAATGAGGCAGTGGGTCTTCATTCACCTAATTTATATTTTGTTTCAGAAAGTTATCTGTTGTGGTGATCTGTCCTTGCAGCAGGAGTTACAGCCACTTTGGCACAAATTTAGTTTTCTCCCTGCGTGTGGTCTCCTGACTTCATTTATGGGAAGTGAATGGCAAGAGAAAGAATTCCTCTCCTTCCCTCCTGTGTTTAAAGTGTACTTTAAAGTGTACTATGTTTACAAAAATAAATGAACAGTTATGGCAACTTTCAGCACTCGTTCTTACACATGGTCAGGTGCAGTAATGCAGATTTTATATCTAAGCCTTACAACTGTAAGTCCATCAGGACCTTTGGAACAAATTCATTTTAAGGACCCTTTAATGATGTAAATTGCAAATAAATGCAAGGATTCATGTATTCTAGTTTCTTCTCTGCTGCCCTAACACAAATTTATTGATGTTATACCAAATGATCAATCACTTGCATAAAAAAGTATTGCCTGGTCCTTTTTCTAAATATTTAGCTATTTCAAGGTTTTAACAGCAGCTTACTTGCGCAGTAATATCCCAGCCGTCTTCCAAACAAACCATAACAGAAGAACCATTTTCCAGGAGCTCAGAGATGATCACACCCAACTGCATTATCCTGTGAAGCTATAAAGTATTACAAATAAGTAACATACTCAAGTCTAAGATAAATTTCTAGACAGTATCAATAAATAAAATATTTTCATATTTAATATTAAAATATGTATCCTGAAATCTACATATAGTACAGAGAAATGCATTGATCCAACAGATTAGAAAGCTATAAAATCTAACAGTCTCAGGATTTTCATCTGAACTACAACAGGGGAACTACACATGTGACAGATTTATTGTAGAGAAATTCCATCCTGGGCTTAACACTAAAATAATACTCTGTGAAATGTTAAGGTTCCATAAAGTCACTAAGTACACTGATGGGAGAACCCATGTAAGAGATTTACAAGATAGTATTTCTAATGCTCAGTCCCACGGAGATCGGAAAATAATGAATTGAAAAATAATAATAACTATGAAAAAACAAACCACAAACCTAAAAACAAACACAGAAAAATCCTGTTTCTATAATCTGGAAATAGTTTAGATAGATTAAAGAGTGTTTCTTATACTTGGGCAGACTGGCTAAAACATATGGAAAGATGACACATTATTTGCATTCTAATATTCATCATGCAGTGATAGTAAAATTCCTTGAGCAGGTGGCTTAGTTACTTTCTCTGGGAAGGGTTATGGACTCGAATGAGATTGAATCAAACACGGTAGGTATAAGCAGGTTTAAAAATTCAGGTGAAATTGAGGAATTGTATCTTACTATGAGACTTCACACTACTATTACTAAAAGGAAAATCTACATGATGTTTCTACCATTTTTGTCATATTATGACAGCATTCTTGGTAAACAACATAATAGACAATATGTAAGTAATTCCGTTTTTTACAGGAGAAGGAAACTGCTCTTTGCAGAGCACCGCATACAATCCAACCAATAGCAGCAGTAGGAAAGGTCAAAGCCTAAAAGAAGCAAGAAAGCAATATAGGAAAACAAATCAAGAAAAGATGGCAGTAGACATCTAAGATTATTTATGCAAGGAAAAAAGTAAGTTCAGAAAGTCCAGAAGGCACAGGAAAGCAACTCAGGGAGAACAAAGTTAAATTGGGGAAAATAAAGAGGAAAAAAGATCAACCAAACAACAGTTAAACCCTACAAAATTCATCCTTGTTTAGGGCACTCTGCTTTTTTCCTCTTAAGAAAACCCTAATCCTATGAATATTACCAAGGAAATTGTGATGAAAAAGAGTTAATTCCTCTGAACATTCACATAGCCATTACTTCAAAAACAAAAGAAACTAATTTTCCAGCAATTTTTAATGGGAAAAGATTGAAAAGAGTACTGCTTTTAAAACCAAGCAGTTTGTTTATTGTTCTATCCTTAGGCAGTAGAATAGAAGAAAGGCTGTTTTTTGCTGTCCTTAATGAATAAACTGATATGCAATCTGGTTATACAGATTCCATATAAAAAAAAATGCGAAATACTATTTTTACCATTTGTAAATCAGAAGATAGGGCAGCACTTCAAATTTCTTCTTATGTATTCACATCCTTATAAAGAAATATTTAGCCTACACTGTGTCAAAATCAATACTGTGTAACTTGTACTGCCCAGGAGAGGAAAGCTTAATACAATAAAACCCCTCACATTTCCAAGATGACAGATGTATGTTCTTTCACAGGAAAAGCAGAAAATGCGTCAAATTGGTCATAAATTAACTTTATAACATAAGTCACATACAACATGATTTAAACCACAGAAACATGGTTTAAGTGTCACACAGCTAGTGTCTGACATTATGATCTAGTCCTGAGCAGAGTGATACACTATTACTTTTCCTTTCAAATTTGCCAAAAGAGGGTAACTCCTCCAATGTTATAATCTCCCTTTGATCTCCGTGCTCCTATAGGGACATGTTTATTTCATCAAAGTGACATTCAATTCATTTATCTACACTTATCAAGTTGCTCAACTACCCTGTGACTGAAAATGTTCCCATGATGAGGGATTCAAGTCTTCATGCTCTTCCCACTTCTTCGCTTCCTGAAGAACGTGGTGGCCAGACACAGCAATGACCAGCTCCTATGTGCTCTACGGAGTGATCACACCTCAAGTGAAGAAGTTAAGCCACTCCTTGCAACGTAGCACATTTCAACCAGGAGTACATTTTCTGATGCGTAATTACTAAAATGACTGTATTACTCACATGTATTTCTTTCTTAAGAAATCAGTGTAAGAGTTTATTCTGTTTTCTATGATTAACTGCATTTGAGAAGAATATATTCAGCAGAGGATTCCAAACATAACATGCAACTGTTAAAAAACATTTACTATAATTAAAATGGTTTTAGAATTACAAAGAGCCAACTTTCCCACATCCTTCTTAATTTAAATCTTGCAAAGTTACTTCCAGTCTTGCCTTTCTTTGATTAATCTTTATGTAAGGGAATATCAGATAGGAAAGTAAAGGAATAGATTCAGAGAGAACAGATTAACACACACACAATCCCTTCTCCCCCACAAACACTTCCCCATATCCCACAACAGATAACAGATGCTAGCTTATTCATTAAGTACTTATGCATATGGAAATTCTGGGTGGGAACACATATGAAGAGTAGAATATCTGTGTTAAAATCAAAAGGCTCATTTCTTGTTCTATACTTTTTGCTGATTTTTAAAATATATAGAATAAGAAAAAGCAGTTAAAACGAAGACCGTAAATTTATATAGGCAGAAAAAACGGTAATCTCTTCTAGTGTACGTGTTCCATGTCGTAAACCATAAATTATGTTATTAAAAACGCCTCCCACATTTGTAAATAATGTGATTGTATTAAAATAATAATGCTTATGTAATGACAGAATTGATAGTATGCAAAATAATTACAATGAACAAAGAAGAACAGCTGGTTAGAACACAATAGTTCTCTGTCAGAAGAGCCTGAAATTTATTTTATGTAAGCAGTACTGCATATAGATTATTAGAAGTACCTGTCATATAAATTACCTGTGGGAACCACTCTGACTCGCCAAGTGCTTTAAGGAATGTTGCCTCAGAATCTGTAGGAATAGTGCTGGGAACACAAGCTCTCATCAGCTTTTTAAAGCTTGCCTTTGTCTGTCGGATGTCACTGAACTCAACAGGAACAAATTCACAATTCAAAGCAAAATCAAGTTTGAATCCCTGTATGAAAAGGACAACAGCAGATATAACTTAAAAAGGAAGCATATTTTTCACTGACAGTCTCATTAAATCTCAAAGTCTTGCCTGCTTTATTGCTAAATATTTCAATTCCTAATTAAAAATCTGGTTAGTTAAACACCTGCTCAGGATAATAAAAATCGTTACACCACTTGCAAAATGTACCATAATAAAGTACCTATCTACTACTCATAACAGCAGAATGTACTGCACACCAGTCATATTTTTAATAACTATAGTAATAATAGTAGTAAAAAACCAAAGTTGAGTGATAAATCTGTTGAGTTCTTTACACACAACATAATGCGTTTCCTTTAGGATTTTTTAAGCAAATTAACAATAAATAAATAAAACAACTGTATGGATGACATACCAGTGTAGGACAGATTCTAGTAGTTCAATGAAGCAGAAGAAAAGTAACCCTCAAATCCAAAAAGAACCCTCAAAACTGCAAACTAGTTGACTCATCAAAGCAGTCACTGCACGTTGAGACAGCTGTTTGTCTAAAGTACCTAGCTCAACACAGAATAGCAGTCAGGGAATACCTGATATAATTTCCAAGAGGTATGTGAGGTTTGTCCTGTCAGAAATTTTCATGTTTTGTTTTACTTACTGCATTTAGAAAATGAGCAATAAGAGAGGAGGACTGAATTAAGAGATCAAGTTATCTAACTGAAATAAAAAGAACTATCATGAAAAGGATAATATGGAGAACATTATTACGAAAAACAATTCTTATGTGTGAAGCACCACTGAAGACCTTCACAGCAAACTTTTTCAGTTTTCTTCAGAAATTGCTCTTTCATGGAATTAAACTTGGTCTGCAAATAATCTTCATTAAGCTGTTTCACAGGATGCCAAGTGAAAATGTAGGAATGTGAAAGCCCAGATTTAGTTCTGTTTACATTTTGGCATGGTTCAAAAATAAATTCAATAGCTCAACTAGCAAACTTGCTTTTTTAGAATGCTACGTTGTAATCATGTATGATAAAAGCAATTGAAAAAAAGAGCACATTTTCCTTAAAATGTTATATATTTCTGTTTGTATCATCAAATTATGTGACATGATACTTAGCAGAATAAAGCAGGTCCTTATATGAATCAACATCAGTAATGCATGCTCTGCCAAGCCCTTTACAAAGCCTGCAAATTCTAAGTTAACAGGATGCTAACAAAAGCTAGGAAAACACTACATAATCAAAAATCAACAAGATTTCTTTATACAAAAACAAAAGTTGAATTGTCTTATAGACTAGATACAAATCAGTGGGAGAAAGTTTGAAACAATCTCTTAATCACTATGTAATTTTATTCTTACATGTGATACCACATTACACTTTTCCTTAGAAATGCCCAGAGATGACTCATCTTCTTTAAAACTGTATTATTAAACAAAACAAAATGGTGAAAAACCTGTAAGCTCTAATATATTAAAAATGTTTTAATCCATACCAAGCAATAACATATTATCCCCACCTAGTTTGTGACTGCTGATACATTAAACATCATCATTTTTTTGCACAACTGGTCTAAAGGGTCATTTCAAAGCAGCAGAGTAAAGGTGTTTCTACTACATTGTCTTTAGATGCATGATTGAACTCTTCACTTATCATTCCTTAAGAAATCAAACAAACAGAAGCGTGAATAACTGTTACTATTGGATTATGGCAATTTAATTCTATGTAATTGTTTCTCTTGCATTACTTTTCCTGTATTTCTTTTCATCGAAGTGTCTCCTTTGCCAGAGCCTTCTGGGGGTTATGGTTATAAAAGAAGACTTAACAAGATGAAAAATTGATATGAACAGACCTGTTTGAAAACTTTGGGAAGAATGTTCTCCAGAAAAGCAAATGAAAATGCCAACTCAATAAAACTGAAAAATTTTGCAGGAGAATGAACAGTTTTCTTACTGTTCAAAAGAACAGTTTGTTCTAATAATGATTAATGATGTTTACTTTTGAAATTTCTGTCTTTTATGTTATATTCTTATGCTTTATTATATTAAATCAGAACACTTTGATCATAGACTTAACAGGACATTTCTGCAAATTATTGTTATGCTAATGATATTAGAAAGCAATAGAACGTGAAATGAAATCTAACTAATTAAAAATGACTACTTTGTGTACCAATGTGTAATGAAGAAACCAAAAGGAAAATGAATTTGCAAGCCAATTAGAACTAATATCTGTTTATATAGCCATGATTTAAAAATACAACTGAAAATGCAAATAAGATGTAAAAGGAACATTTGAAATTACAAAGAAAAATCAAAATAGAAACAAAATTTGCAAAGAATTTTGATTTATCATTCTGAAACAGCATGATTCTTCCATCTCCTGATATAACATAATTTCAGAAAGAATTGGATACTGATGTATTTTCCTACTACAAGAACTGCTTTTGGAAGTTATATATTTAAAAAAACCCACATAATATTTTATGTATGCTCACATTTCAAATAAGAAAATAGAAAACAATTGATTTTTCAATCTTTGAATGCAGAGATTTAAAAAAAATAATATTCAAACATTTTCTGAAAAAAATCAAAACTACCAAGAATTACTGTAGAGGACACCTGTTTCTTAGACAACTGCATTTAAAATATTAAAATCTATCCAAAAAGGTGTATGAAACCATAGACATCACGGTCCTCTTCATGTAATCAAATCAGGATGGCCAGAATTCTGGGTTGGCCTTATTCACATCAATTTGGCTTCATGTGAGTTTAAGTGCTGCCCACAGTAACAAAGGTTTTCTTTTCTGGTAATCACTTTCCTGACTAACAATGTTCCATTTGCTTCATAACATATTTCAACACATCAGGAAAATAAAATTGCACTTTAAATTACCAAATAAATCTGTTTCATGTTTCCCAAAATAGAAATCACCAAGATGACGACTCAGCTGAACATTAGATGAGTAGTCAGCAGAATGAGTACAGTAGTATGTATTTAGGTGTAATGAAGCATGTCTCTAAAAGCAAGAATTTAGAGATACAGAACTCCAGCACTTCCCTTGGAATAGCTCTGAACAGTCTCTGAAAGGGGCAGCAAGCTCCACTGCTGCTATACCAGCCCCACTCCATTTGCCTACAGTCCCATCATTCATCTTTATTCCAGCAGTGACACTGAGCAGAGCCAAACTCTGCTGCCCTTGCTCCCTGCAAAGCCAATGCAGGGAGGTAGTTGAGACAGCAAAGACATGGTGACTTCCAAATATGAAGGCTTTGCTGGACGCTTTGTTGCCTAGCAATACATTTCCTTCCTAGCCATGTCTTTCCCAATTTGAATGCTCTTGCTTTGTACAAAAGCTATTCCATTCCTCTAGTCATCTGTTATGCATCTTTGTATCTCTTAGCTCTACCAGACATCAGCACTTGACCAACAGTGTCAAATAGGGCTCTACTCACAGAAATTTTGTGAGTTTAAGTCTGATCTTTAACTGCTCTTTCAGATAATTTAGTATATTTTAATTTATGTTAACTCTGTTGTATTATATAGCCACAGAGCTTGATTTTCATGCCCCCAGCCCCCACCGAATTATACAGCATTGTTATTCTGTGTATAGGAATAATCCTCATAAGAGTTTATACCTCATAATGCTCATAAGAGTTATCCATCTGCCTTATCTAGAATATTATTTACTGTTTTGTAAAAACATTAGGGTTATTAAACTCAAGCCAAATAAAAGCTATGTTAACATGAAAAAAAAAGCCATTACCCGTAACTGAGATTTTTCTCCAAATATATAGAGGGCTGCTTGCCGTCTCAAAAGCTGACTTTGCAGAAAAGTGCTGCTACTGTAGGAACTGGTGTTATCTTTCCCTGCAAGTCTTGCACCAACATCAATGAATGGCGTCGGAGTGTTGATAAAACGGTTGCTTGAACGAAGACTTGCCCACACACCTTCATAAAGACGAAAAATATTTAAAAATCTCTTTGTGTGAGGTACTGGAGATCATACTCATTAAGGCATATGCTAAACAATAATTTGGAGAGTAGAGTGCTTAAACATGTCATTTGCACCCCTCATAGGACATAATTAACAGCATGTGCTGGAAAGAAATATTTTCATAACAAAAACTGTCAAACACATCCTACTGCATTGTCATTTAACCTAAGATACTAATCAAACTCTGCACAGCACTTTATTGTAGAGAAAATGGTTGCTATTATATCAGTAATACAATGATAAAATGACTCTCAACTTGCAAGTAATTAGGGTCCATTTAAGTGTATGGAAATTAAATTGCTAGTGTTGTTCTTTTCAGAAGCAGGGATAAAAAACTGCCGTATTTCCTTGTCAAAGGCATATTATTTTGAAAGTCTAACTACTAAGAATATTATATAAATACTTTCTTCAAAACCAGATATAGTATCCCTTAAAATTCTGTTACTCAGAAATCTTGTGTTCCTTTTGCCTGTGGCAGTGGTAGGCTAACGGTTGGACTTGATGATCTTAAAGGTCTTTTCCAACCTAAATGATTCTATGACTATAACAAAATGTACATGAGGATGATCAATTCAAATATTACATTTCAGGACAAAGTATTCCATATTTACTCTTGAAATGCCATGATTAAAATGCAGAATGCCATGAATTTTAGTTTTTAATTGTCCATGTCTAATGCACTATTAGAAATGAAAATGAATTTAAGGAAGTTCTTTTTTTACTCATGTGTTTCATGACTGCATTCTATTGGATGTGACGACAGGACAGTTGTGTGAGTAGAGAGAAGTGTGCCCAGAAGATCACAGTCTTACAGTTTTGGTCTGGCAGTAAGATCGCCATTACTCTGGAGGCAGGGCACGGTACAGATATCCCAAAACTAGCAACAACATGAGCTCGAAACAGTGCAGTGTGATGTGGAACCACAGACTTGCATCTGAAAGCGGCACAGCAATATTTGAATGGCATTGTACCAACCTGATAACCTCTGTCTCTCAACAGCATTTTCAGTTTGCATACTGTAACTTGCTGATGCAGCTATATTGTCACTTCCAGAGGAGGAAATTCCTACAGCACACAGACATGCTCTGATCTGATCATGCTTCAGTAAGTTTTGTGATTTCAACATAAGACAAAGTAGAGATAAACCAGATTGCCATGGCCTGTTTAGCACTAGCAGGAGCAAAGACAACTACTAAATACTTTTCTGTTTCTTGTCCTTTAGTTAATAACCATGATTTTGAGACTGTTTTTGTGTGTCGAATGTGACATATGTGAAAGGTACTTGATTTTCTGAATATAAATAGCACTACTTGAAAATTAAATCCCTTAAAGTATACTAAATTTGGCATTCAAATGGCAGTGTGAAATTCTTTAACCCAATATGCAGTAAATCATACTATCAGAAGAGACTCTTGTTCATAAATCTGTGAAGCAAGGTATCCAAAAGAGGCACCAGAAATACCTCGTAATAGTAGAAATTTAGATACTACAGTACCAAAACCCCCTCCAACCCCTTCAGGAAAATCCAATAATATGCATAGTTAACAATTCTTGCATAGAAGAAAAAAAGTTGCAGATAACAGTAAAATTCCACTGAGATAGCTCAACCAGCAAAATAATTTTATTCTATTTTTTTAGAAGCAGGATTATGTTTCTATTAAAGAATAGTTCTGTACAGTAATCCTCGCCAGGGACTTGTCTGTACAGTTTAGCTTGTCTGCCTGTCTGGCTGCTAGTCTTAGACGTGAGCAAACGAATAGGAGTAACTGAGAATGGTTGGCTAGGAACTTAAGATTTGGTAACAGTTTTAAAGAGTTTCCACTCCAAAGACAGCCAGTTTTATAAAATATCTCACATAGTAAAGCAGTATGTTCAGTATAAACTTTTGTTCCACATCTCAACTACTACAGACAAAATAATAAAGACTTTAGCAAGCAAGCAGAAATTACAGGAAACATTTAACGAGAGAAATAATTTCTTGTTCATTTGGTATGAAAAAATGCTAACTCCAACACAGACAACTGTCCCCAAAGATAATATATACAAAAATACAGTGTGTCACTTTCTAGCATTTTACAAATGCAGGCCATCATTAGCGCCTGTAGCACATCAAAACCAACAAAACTGGTTACAAAAACATGCAGATGAACATGTTTACCAGTGATGGATAACAGTGATTAAAATGCACAATAATATTTCTATTCTAATTTTGCCCATTATCTTATTTTTTGTTAGCGGTATCTAGCTTTCATTATTTGGCATGTACTGCTATTACTATGACTTTCTAATTTGGCAGAAATCAATTTTTTGCTGTTCACTAACATTAACAGTAATTTTGGAAAGAAAGTTAATTGACTAGGTAACAGTATTTCTTAGCTATTTTACTAAAGCAGTAGGAGTACTAAATGCTCTTTGGCAGAATTATTTTTTTTCTGTTTAAAATTTTCACACAGAAAATTTTTTACATATCACTCCGTGTTAGATCATAACATTATTAAAGAATAACGTGGAGAAGCGTGTGACTAATCACTGTCACTGCATCATACATTCAAAGGCCAAAAAACCCCAAAACAAAACCAGAACACTGAACTAAAAACCCCAAAATTTTGTTACTGCAGAATCAAAGCTTTCTGTCAGCATCACTTTAGCACGTATTAAGATATTGTAGTAGTTATGGAGATGGTAGAAAAGAATGTGCTTTCAGGACACAGAATACAGTACCTTGATGGATGCTTCCCTTAGCTGCTGATTTGGAATTTGAATGAGTGAAACATTTATCTCTGTACCCAAGCACTGGTAGATAACAGTTAAGACAGAAGAAGGAGGAATGGAATGCACATTGCAGCGAGACACATTGCAGGAGAAAAGAAAAGGGTTACTTATTAGTTTCCAAAGATCTAGTATATATTGAATTTCTTTATAGCACATGATTTATCAGACAGCACAAATCTTAGTCATCACAAGACAAAACATCAATCAAGCCAGAAAACCAATATAAAATGGGAAGCAAGTGCCCATTTATCAAAAAGGAGTAATTTTCATTGTCATTGGAATAGTTTCAAACATATAGCACAGCCATCATGTGTTCTTCCACAATTATAATACCAAAGGAAATGTAACAATTAAATCATTCTGCTGAATACCTTATTGAAAGCTTCTCTCCAGCTGAAAGTTAGCTTAATTAAAAATCCCAACCTTAGTGCTTTTTTTAAAAAAATGTTTTAGTCTATTTTAGGTACATAATTTGAAGGACCTCAAAATCACATCAGAGTGCAAGATGTTAGTTCTATATACCTACAAACATTTTTAAAGGACTGTGTAAAAGTATGTATTTAGAAAACATGTAGTATCTGTCACACAAAGAGACTTCCTCCCCCCTTGCAAATATTCTCATTTTCTGTAGGAGCCTTATTTATGTATCAGAGGGTATATTTTAGGCTCAAGAGCCACATCAACACAAGCAACTTCCTTTAATATAAATATTCCATTAAAACATATTGAAAGTGTTAATGTCTTCTGCTTTTAGAATACATGTCTGAGCTGACTCTGTATTTATTAATTATAAATATCCTAATGTTTTTCCAACAGCAGCAAATCATACTGAGAAAACATTTTATTCTACTAAATTACACAACAATGCCTGGTAAGAAGTGCTGTTCTGTAGAACCGCATTATACTTATAAAGTAATATAAGAAGAAAAGGTATGTATTTTGAGTGAACTTACAATTCTTATAAAAGGTATCAACCAAGGTATTGCCAAAAAAAGGGTCCAAAAATGAAAATATATTATGAAATATAAGTATTTGGTCAAATATTTCAGATTAGAAGCAACTTCACTGGGCTTTAGGCAAATACTTAGTTATAATGTTCCAGATAAAGTAAAAACTGATACCCGACAAGGACATAAATATTCAGGACAACTGATGAGTATTCAGAACAGTGATGATTTTTAAAAATGAGAAATACTATTCAAGTACTGGCACATATCTTTTAACTTAAATATTAAAAGGATGTGTATTAAAAATACATTGTCTGGCACAAAAAATAGAAAATGTCATTTTCAATTGGTGTATCATAGCCGAACTTGCCTTTTGAGCTCTGGTATGTGAGAGAATAAAAACAAGGAAAGAAAGAGGGATCCAGAATCAAAACTACAAAAATACTGCTATTGTATTTTGTACACTGTAGTGTCTAATCCTTAGCTGCTTGCTATGATAAAGTAACTAGCTAACTCAATTGTCTTTTTTTTTTTTTCCCCCTTTTCCTTTTTTCTTGCTTTTTGAGTTATTCTTAGGAATAGGAAAAAGAGAGAAATCACCATTTTTAGACTGCCTGCGAATGTTTCTTTTTTCAGCCGACCAAAAACCTGTGTTTTTGGTCCTGTATACAGTCTTGTGACACTACTTCACATGTGAAATATAACTAGCAGTAAAAATGTAGTAAAAAACTTTGCAACAATAAATCACGTGAATCAATCTATTTGAGAACAATAATTTTAGAGATTCTATATACTTTGTGTATTTGAGTTTCTTCTAATCTAAAAAAACACCTAGTGTTCACTCCTCTGCAGCGAGATATTTCCTTTCCCTGTTCTCTCTTACCCTGTCAACTTCTCACCTTCACTAGGGCTCCCATTGTACTTGTCAAACATTCTTAGGTTTCAGCAAATGTATCCGGCTGAACTGTGAATAGACTGCAGATACTGGGCTGTAATTACACCTTTCAGATATATAGAGCAGGTGTGGCATCAATCCAGCAAGACACAAGATAACTTCTCTGCCCTCCTCCTGATTACTGCTGAAATTCAGCCAAGAGACTTTAATGTCAAACAAAACAACACGTCTGTGACCTAACACTGCCTTTAGACTCCTTTTTTCTTCACTGAGTAGCAACAAACTCATCCTATCACACTTACCACAAACTCTAATCCCAGAAACCAGCAATAGTTATTTCAGTAATCCTTTTATCTTCAAAAGACAACTTCCATACAGTCAGCCAGTAAGCTTTCCCTTACTTATCTGGAGCACCTTCACTGCCCCTCAGCACCACTGCACTGTTGGCACTTTTGTCCCAACACGAGGGGACGGAACATAACCAAACGTCTCCTGTCAGCTACCCAGCATTTTCACTGTTTCAGTGAAAGTCAGGCTGGGCACAGCCATCAATTTATCTAACAATTCCAGACACTATTAACTCCTGTTCTCTTAGGTCCCTAGCCATTTTACCTATCCAATTAAAATCACTGTTTTTTCATGTCCATGTAGTACAATATCAAGACAGTGAGCAGAGAACATAAACAGTACTTTCATATATGAAATTTGCATATACTATGGTTAATGAAAATGCACAGAATTTTCCATCTTCTGCTGATCACCATTTAACTGCTGTTCCTCTCTTCCATTCTGCTATAATTCTCACATAACTTCTCTATGAAGCTCTGCATATTTTTCTTTCTTCTTTCCTTTCTCCCTCCCTCCTGCCTTCTTCCTTCCATCATTTCTCTAATCTCATCCCTCTCTTTTGGAAGTTTTTCTCTACAAAATTGTTTTATTCTTCCCTATATGAAGCTACAGTTTTTCTACCACACAACAATTTAGGTTGGAATGGACCTCAGCAGGTCAAAGTAGGTCTAACTAATTTCAGATGAGGTATCGAAAAGGAAGAAAGGCAATTTTTAGATGCTTAGAAACAACTGTAAGAGGAGCCTTCAGGGCTAAAAGGTAATAAATGAAATATAAAATGCTCCTTTTTGGGAAACAGATTTATCTGTATCCTAACAAACATGTATTTAAGGAATGTGATGCTCTAATTTATGCATGTATTGCACATGAAAAAAATCAAAATGATTTCATCAGACTAGAAGAGTGAAAGTAGTTGAAATCTACTTCACAGGATGAAAGTTTCTTGTAGAAATCACAGTGATGAGCCCTTGTATCTAAGAATAACTATTTCCAAAGAACACACTGTATCTTATTACGCCTGGCCACATAACTCCCTCCTTTACCTAGAGTAAAATTATTCAGACAGATTATTTGTAACTTTATGAAGCATCAGCTAATCTTCAGCCAAATGCCAAAATGACCTGTAATTGGAGATTCTAAATTGCATTCAATCCTGATATAAAATACGCATTTTCAGCCCATACATTTTAGACAAATTAAAAATATGGATGAAGAAAAGAATTCAGAAACATAATTCCTAATTGAATGCTTAATTTTCCACTAATTTCCAACATGAAACAAGCTTTATTTCAATGGTAAGTAAAGGATTTAGACAGAAATTACATACTTAAATAATGTTATGGACTGAGGCTAATCTGCAATTTCTATTTTGTTGTTTCACAGAGTAATGAATCAGTTAGCAGTGTAATAATTTTTATTTCACTAACATTTTGTTATCATTTATTACTTCAAATAATAGACTTTGAGCTAGTCTTACTAACCTCCTCGAGCAAAGCTATTGGATAGATTTACATCCAAATGTCCTGGCACTACCTGCTTAAACACAGTAGACATTCTTGAAGCCCTCCTTTCAGTGCCTAAAGTCAGCCAAAAAAAAGATAGAAGATTAAAAAACTACAGTGTTACTCAGACTAACACTTAACATAACTGATAAAATGCCCCTTTTCACACAATACAGCTAATTCTTGCCAATTTTGTTCTTCAGATTTATTTTTAAAGACAGATGTATACATTGGCAACAGTATGGACATGTTAGATACAGCTAAGCAATCAACATATTTTACAATAAATGAAGCAAAGCATGCACACTTTAGGAATGGTGTTATTTTACAAGAAAAGCCACTGTTTGGCTACATTAGGCCAATTACCACTAAGACAAGACAGACACAATTTCAAGTCACATACTCCTCTTTCTAAGACATTGGGGTTACCTTCATATAAACCTTACCAGATTTCATCACATAACAACTGATATAAAACATGGATTCATTTCTTCATGGTTCCACATATGGATAACTCAAATAGTGTATTTTGAAAGAGTTTCCACTACAATTAAAGCTCTACTTGGAAATGACATTAAAAGCCCATTATGAGTATGTAACACATATGAAAATGCCTATCTACCTTCCATTGCTGTTGCAGCTAAGTAGCGTATCTGTTCATGTAGAATCTGAGCTTGCAATCTTGTATTTTCTCATATAAAATAGAGTAGTATTTTGCATTCTCTTCAATTTGGCAATCTCTTATTCAATATACAGTTTTCAATACGCTTAATTTGTAACAAAAGACTTTAAAGTTCATCTTTGCTTTTGATTCTGTTATATAATGTAACTGTTGCATTGGATATAAAAAAACCCCTGGAAATCTTTGGCATCTTGACATTCTGGATTACTTTATTTGTTCCAGAATTGTAATAAATTACTAATGCCTCAAGATTGGCTATCATACCCAAGTGAATTTCACCAAAAACTATGACCCATAGGTGGATAATCATTTACGGTCAGATTAAGAATACTGAAAAGTATTTTAGGAAAGATTATAAACATACTTTATATACGGAAAACATTCACTGAAACTAAGAGTGAAGAAGCTATCTGGAAAGTGTAACAATAAAGAAACAACAGAATTCATATAGGACATTGAACTAACTCCAAATCAGAGAAAACTCACTCTTCAACTTAACCACAGAAAGCACTATATAAAACAATTTTACCTGGAGACAGAGCAATTGTTGGTCTAACAGTGAGAGTGTTACTGCCATTCATTTTGCAGTGGACGGATACCACATTCAGTAAGGCTTGTAGGTATTTTTCCTGTTCTATACTGCTTGAAGATTCTAAAGAAGCAGGAGCTAGAGTCACAAGAAGAATGGAATACATTAAAATACATTTATAAATACACAGAATAGCAAAATAAAAAGCTTGTTATGTAAAGCAGAGCATTGAAAATGTCATGGCCTGTCTGTCAAGGGTTCAAGAAGGCATTCCTCATGGATGCTTAGATGTTCATCACCTGGCTGCAGAGCAGCACCCACCAATGTTCTCTTGCATTCCACTCCACAAAGCTAAACTTCTGAAAGAGTTTGTTACCCTCATGGTCACTGCTTAAAACATTCATCATTAGCCAGTGATCAATACAAACAGATGTAGATTTTCCTTCACTCTCAGAATGAAAAGTAATATTTCTAAGTTTGTATTACTTGTCAGCAAATTTCAGCCTTTTAAAAAAAAAAAAAGGTGTAGAGAACAGAAAGAACTGTTTCTTTAACAAAAGTAAGTTAAAACCATACTCTGCCAGTTCTTCTTCATTCCAGTAAAGGAAGGTTACTTATCTGCAACTGGAGGTTCCCTGAGATATATTGCCCATTCACTGAAAGTATACATATATCAAAAGACACCAGTGTTCATGCACTCTGCTGCATTTAGAGACATCAATGGATACAATCTACGTGTCCTTCAGGTACTCCACCCCCAGAATCTGACCTAAAAAAGTCCATTAAAAAATGGAATAAAGAAGAGAGGAAAGAGGATGGACAGTGCATGCGCACCTGGATAACACTCGTTAAGGGATCTCAAATTATGAAAAGTAACGTTCCTGTTCCCTAGTGACAATCCACCTGCTCCTTCACCAGTAGGTAACTTCAGGAAGTGTCTCCCCACATGCTTAGGTAACTTGTAGGAGAGGGGGCTGCACTGTTGTGAGAACCACAATTCCTTGTCTGAAAACCTCTGAATAATCCTTTACACGCATGTAGTTTCAGATGACAACTCTACAGATCTCAGAAACAGAATCATTTTCCAGTTGTTACTGATGTTGCTTAAGTTGCTGGAGACACGGAGAAGGACCATTTCTGAGAAAGAGTAGTGGCTGCAAAAGACTGGATGAAAGTAAAGCCAGAGAAGAAACAGACACAGTTTAAAAACACAGGGCGGAGAAAAAAAAAAAGCAAGATGAGAAAGGTATGATGTTCTGAGAAAGTACTGAAGTTAAACTGAGTCCTCTTAAGACAATCTAAGACTTAAAAAAGTTAAAAATCCAGTACACAGAACCAAGGAAAAAAACTCAAAAATAAGAAAAATTAAGAAATGTATCTTAACCAGAAAAACTCCACCCATTTTTGTCCAGGTGCAAGGACTTAAAGGAAGGGAAGGAGATGAAGGTCAGGTCCTGGGCCATACTATGATGACAAAAAAGTGTCCAGTCTCAATGAGTTAGATTGTTTTTTTCAAATGCCACACAAAATTCTTTTATTCTAGTTTATTTCAGCCGCTTCTGAACTTGCTATAGGACAAAAATGTCATAGCTGCTTAAACCAGGATTTGGTATCTTGACCACAAGACTCAAGATTTGGAATAAGATAGAGAGTCAAAGAACTTGATTGAGCACATTTTGATGAATGACAATGGTAACTTATAAACAGTTTTCTCCAGTGATGATCCAATCAGATTCTATGCTGGAGACTAATAAACAGTAACCTAATTAGCTGGAGGTGGCAAAAGAAATTTCAAGATAGCCCTGTTAAAATTAGTATCTAAATAGCCCTGTTAAAATTAGTGTCACAATTGGAAGTACAATTAGGAAGTGATTAGAAAATATACATGCAGGCAACAGCATGCTGTTTCTGTCTGACAAAGCGGAACAAGCCTGAAGAAAAATATTATTTTTTCTTCAACTCTTAAGCAGGGTTTACACATCCCGAAATCCACTTGAATGACCTCTGGGTCTCCTAGTCCTTGAAGCAATGGCACAAAAAGTCAATTTAGGTCTTAACAATTTGGTTAAATGAAAGGAAATGAAATGTCTAAATGAAAGGATAATGTCCTTACCACTTGCACTTACAAAGTTTTATTTTGTGAAGAGCATTGTGTGTGTTTTAGGAAAGAGACTCAGGAGACAAATAGCTTGATGTATATGAAAGTCTGTTATTGAACTGGGTAGATATCTGAATTAGAGATTGAGGGCTAATATCTTTGTGAAAGATCATAGATGGAAAATTTGCCCTTCATCCTTACCACCAATCATCCCATCACACAGTGCTTAACAGCAGTATAAAGAGATGAAAGACTACTGGTGACTCAAAGCATGAACCCTTGCCTGCAGAGGTGAACAGGGATTTCTATAAAATGACTGATCTTTTAAGTGTTGTATCCTATACGAAGGCCATCACAACAGCAAGGATTTAAACAAAAGATGGGGATGGAGATCCCAGTAGCAACTTTATAAATCCCAGGAAAGAAATATATTGCTTAGTAACACAATTAAGATTGCCTCAGCTGCTAATATGTGCTCTGTATGCCTGGTTGCAGGTTGCTCCATCTTTATCTTACAACAGGTCCTAATATAGTCAATAATCCAGCCTGTATTAAGATAACTGTTCTCTTGGATAGTGTAACTACATATAAGAAACACAAATGGTCTTCCTACATGGTAGTTGACCAATACTTGGTAATTCAGATGTAGAATGTCATATTTACAACTACAATATTATGCAAAAAAATTCCCAGAAAGGCCGAACTGAAATTCAGAAACCAACTTTCTTGTTTCAAAGGAACTCTTGAAAAAGACCTGTAGACTCCCCATCTCATATTCAAACATCTGTTAATAATAATTTGTGGACAGACGTTAGAAAAATACAATTCCGTTGCACATGTAGTTTGGTTCCATACAGCAATTCAGTATTGTGCATAATTTCTCTAAAAAGTATGTTCTGCGCTTTTTATATAACATATTGATCTCAACTATGCTTTGAAAACTTGCTTAACAAGCAATGTAACAGGAAATTACAAAAATGTTCATTAAGTTCCAGCAGGTCCTCTTTGTTTTTCTATCAATCCAGAACTGCCTAATAAAAATCTACTCCTGTGAAATCTCTGCTCAGGAAGATATGCATCTGTCAACTTGCATTTAATTTAAGATAATCTTTGTCCTCTTAGTTTGCATCACGATGTGTTTATCAATATAGACTTTCCTTCATTGTACACAATTCCTTCTAAAGCAAATACATGCACCTGTGTATAACTATCTTTATTGATCAGTTTCTTCAAAAGTTTTGTTTCATCAAGCTTCAACTTCATTATGAATAAAATAAATACCCTGTAAATATTTCTCATTTTCCTTGCAGTACCTTTCTGACGAGAGTCTTCATTTTCCTCATATTTTAAAAGAAACTCCAGAAGCTAATATCTGACAGATATAGTTATTGTCAATCAGATTATCTATTGCCTAATATACTACTGGCAGTATGATGACTGCTTGACATTAGAAAGAACTTCTTCACTGTTAGAGTTGTTAGGCATTGGAACAGGCTCCCCAGGGAGGTGGTGGAGTCATCGTCCCTGGAGATGTTCAAAAAACGTTTAGATGTGGCACTTCAAGACATGGTTTAGTGGACAGGATGGCATCAGGTATACGGTTGGACTTGATGATCTTTGAGGTCTCTTCCAACCATAATGATTCTATGATTCTATGATTCTATGACTCTATGATGGGAATGGTAATATAAAAGACTACATACAATTAAAAAAAGAAATCACCTATAAGAGCAATGAGATTACACATAGGAATCTTGCTTTAATGGGTCAGGCTTTGAAGATCCTGTTTTGGAATGCTCTTGTACTCCCATGTACATAGAGATAAGAAAAAACATGGAAGTGTTTGTCTTTATGTAATTTGCAGACTATTCCTGCAGAATTTTTTCCAATTTATTCTATTTCTAACAGGTTAAAGATGTCTGGTCAGTATTTTAGCTAAGACAATCAGTATTAAATCAATTTATAAAACTAACATTTGAATTACCGTGCTTAGGATTCACACCATACACCTGTGGAACTCCTGGTGTTAGCTCATAGCTTTGGTAGCTGCTGTGTTAACTATTGGTAGTACTTCACTGGCTCATTTAATGAATCTTTTTTAAAAAAATGCATGATATAAAACTCTATTCATTACCTTGCTCCTCACTCCAACTAAAAATCGTCCCCACAAAACACTGAAGAGACACACTGAATCAATGCTACGGCAGTGAATATTCAGCCGATAATTAGTGATTCACAAATTAGTGTTAATAACCAGTCCAGACACTGTCTGATGTAAAAAACATTTTTCTGATATCTCTGAAATTTTGAGATTTAAAGGAGTATTTCATATACACAAAACCTCATACAGCTAAATGTTATGTCTGATATAAACTGTTCTTTACAAGTAAGAAAATAGTGGTTTTCATAAAGATACTCTGTGAAGGAAAAATTCAGGAGTATGCAGAAAATATTTAAATCATTTAATCTTCAAACTACTTTTATGCGACTTGCACATATTTGTACATTATGTTTGTTACAGGTTTTGAAAAATTCTGTAGAACAAACTATTCAGTAGAGTCAAACCTTTTAAATTGCATTTTAGTCATTATTGGGGTGAAACATAAACATAAACAGGACTGAGGAATTTCTTTGCTACTTTAATGAGTTCCTGGTATTCCAATTCTACCTCACGTTTTCTTTTTCTCAAAAAAGAAAAATTATGGCCTAGTTCTAGAATAATTTCTAAGCAACTATCAGTTTGATTAAAGAGAATACTGACTTTCTCTTCAGCAATATGCCAAATTCACTCTTGGCAGGAAATTAACTCTGAAGAAACTATCAGCATAAGAGATGGAAATCCAGGCAGTCACAGTAAGTATCCTAAACGCTGCCTGTGAATGATAAAAGTCAATTAATGTTCTTTCCAAAATTAATGTTGCCCTAATGTTATATTATTGTGAAAAATGAGCTATTCTGACAAATCTTGTGCTGGTCCAATCCTGATCACACAGAGGAAGATAATACTTACTTAATGCAAAGACCCAAGCTAGAATCTTTCAGGTCTATGCTTTGTAAAAGAAAGATAAAAGTTAAACTAGTATTACAATGAAAAACATGAGAAAATCCAATGGATAATGGTCTCTCTAATATTTTATATAATCCTCTATTAAAAGGGACAACACGCAATCATTACATAAACCAGAGCAAAGGAAAAAGATAATTTAAGGGAAACGGGAAGTTTGCATTGCATTTGGTGGATATTGGCTTTTACCAAAGACTTTTGGTACATATATAATCTCCGTTCAAATTATTCATTGACAGTTTTTGAACCACTTCCGTACCATTCAGGATTTGCTTCTTGACATATAGTAATTAAACTGAACTAATATAATATCAGATAACCACTCATATCCTGAGACTTCTGATTCAATCGTATCACTGATTTCCTCTATGAAAATAACTGTTTCTACATAAAATTCCTTATACAGAAACCCTAGCTTCATTAACTCACCTGTAGTATGTGTGTTTTGAGATTTGAAGAGGCCAACAACACCTTTTCCATGAAAGCCTCCAGATCTAAGTAGAAGAGTACCGTTTTTAGTGTTCTTCCAACAGACAACTGGTAGGCGATTGTGACGGTAACAGCGAGCAACTCTCTGCAGACTGCTGTCTTGAACAGACTGAGGTACTACCAGAAGCCCAGGATAACTGTATTGAGAAAAAGGTGAAAAACAATTGAACAACAATTAAAACTGCTTTCAAAATTTTAAATAATGAAAAAAATCCCTAAAATTACAAGCTGAATATACATCTTAATGAAAATATACCTCAACTGTTAGAATTATTTTTTATTTAGTAACTGTCAGTTTTAGTCCAATCTTAGCAAATACATTAATTTATAAAGAAAGCTACATTTAAAAAATAACTTTAGTTATGAAAAATTTATAAGACTATCACTGCTAGTATCTTTCCATTTAAGGTTATATTTTATTTGGTAGTGTATTTCTTCTTAGTATATCTCTTATCTGTCACTATAATGAAGCCATATTTTTCAGCATGACAGAAAAGAGAATTTTGAGGCATGCAAATGATGTAGTAGTTTTGTTTTGACACTTGTATATGAAATATGAGAACTGAAAGCAAAGAATGTTAGATTGCCTAAAGTATCACAATTAAACCAATAGTTTTTGGTTTATGTCAAAATACATTGAAATTTTACAGTCAGATTCCTTGGAACAGTGTATTTGAAACTGCATTTTTGTGTACTTTTCAAAAGACTACAATACATTGAGAGATTAGGAAATTCACTGATACAATACCTTTAAAAATAGAAAACCCAGCAAGACAGTATTTGTGTTCATGTTAGTGAAAGAAGGATTCAAGCAATATGAAAGATTATTTTCTATCTCCTCCATAAAATATTCAATTTAAGTACCTATTTTGTATGTTAAGAAGAAACTAAGACGAGGACAGGGAAAAGTTAGTGCTTACTAAACAACTTTGTTCCTCTACAACATACACTTTTACTGTAAATTCAGTTCTTTGACATTTATTGGACTGCCCTCATACAAAATCAATGTATGTAATATTTACAGTCTACTTCTTAAAACACAGTAATCAACCTAATACGGCACTAGATAAGTATTTACATCTTGTGATTTGTAATCCACTCAGATATTAATTATCTTTTCCAAAAAAATCCTATAGAATATTAAAACCTGGTGGTTTTAGGGGAGGAAAGAGTTGTTTGCATAATGTTCAAAGCATAATGAAAATGTACAGGTTTAATGCGTTCATTTGCACTGTACTCATAGGTGATTGAACAAAACCAGTTATTAGTCTGTTATTCTGAACAAGTCAGAAAACAAGAAAGGATCTAATATTTTTCTTGTGTGCCCTTCTTTCATGAAGAACTGGCAATTTCATTATCCATAATGAAAGCAAGGACTAGCCAAAACTGGCTTTAGAAAATGCAAATACTTTTCTGATATGACTGATGCAGATACGGTTTTGTATTAAAAAGAATTTTTGTGGGTAGTGTTAGTAAGCTACATCAACTTTCACAACAAAGATTGAGGTAGTAACATTCATGTTACTAAAAACATAGCACATGACTTTCAGCACATGACAAACTTTTAAAGTAGTGTAGATATCTTAATGAATTCAATTTTAAAACATGTTTTTTTTATTTGAAGAAAATAGGTATGTGTAATTGTTTCTGAGCTTGCTATTTTATTTAGGAACAGAGTAGACTTTAAATGCAAATATTACATAAACAATTTCCAGTACCAGCACAGCAAGTTACAGAAGACGTACCGAGAGAGTTCTAACAGCTAACCTTATGGGCTAAGTCAGAAAGCTGAAAAACAGCCTAATGATTTAGACATCAGTGTAGAAAGCCAAGAGAGAGAAACTCCTTCAAAAGGCAATTCTGATTATCTAGGTTAGCCTGCTCCAAAAGCCCCAGAGGTACCCTCTTCCCATGGGCTATAGAAATAACCTAGGAAGGAAGACTTGTGTCGTCTGACAGAGTTTCCGGGGCAGTTCTGAAAGCTCACATCTGGCTATCATTGCTGGCAGTCTTTCCAAACCTGATGAATACCTATGCAGCCACAAGAAGACAAATCTCTGAGTGGAATACAAATAGCTTCAAGGTCACTGGTTGAACACTCCTACTGTAGACAAAAATTTTCTCAGAGTAAGTTGCTTAAATGGATACATCATGTGGTATGTGTGTTACGTCATCTTTATTTTCAACCACTTGACTCTATTGGTAAACGCACCTCCTGCAAAGTGAATACATCCTGTTCAGTGCAGTTATTCTTAAGTATTCTGTTTTTGAGCGAGAAGAGTTACTACTGATGGTCCCTAGTCCCAAACGTTGATAGTCTCTGAAACAGGCTCTTTCTACTAATTGCTCCATTGTTGATTTTTCTGATGCTTTTAGGGTACCACTTGTGTGCAGCTCGCTGTCATCTGAAACTGAAGTCAAAAATCTTTAAGAGTTTGCTATTGGAGAGGCCAGCAGTTACACAGAAAATGATGGGATTTTCTTCCTACAAAATATTAGTTTGTCTTACTGTCAGTGACGAATGACATAAACTAATACATATAAACCACAGCTTACAGAAATTATAAGCAATAAAACAATATTTTAGTCAGAAAACCTGAATATATTGCACAGTTACCTACTGCATTGGTGACAGGCATGGCTGACAACTCTCTCACTAAAATCCTGGAAAAAGTTCTCTCATATATTCATTTGAACTGAACCAAAGGCAGATAATCTTTCTTTCAACAATTTATGAAAACCTGTTAAGCTCACAACTGCTATAAAAAGATGTACACAAGACAGAATAAGGAAAAATGTATACATAAATTCATTAAACATCCAAGATAAAATGGATCTTGCAATTCATTTAAACCATAATCCAAAGATGTAACAATCTTTTTAAGGCTTGGTTCAAATAAAAAAATGTTTCTGTGTCATGATTTACAACAGATGACTATTGGTTTCTTAATGCCTCAGTTTCAATGTCAAACAGCAGCTTTCTTCAGCCGTGCACATCAGCTGCAATTTCCAAAGCAGAAAAGCCTTTAACCATGAGAGATACACACCGTGTCATGAGCTCAAACTACACTGAAATTCAAGTCAAGCAAAGTCTTTGTACAAAACCTGCCACCTGCCTGTTATTGACACTTCCAACTATTTCCAGATATTCCAAAAGCAGAATTACTGTTCACAGCATGTATCAGTTACTTGCTACCACCTCAAGCATTGAAATATGTGCATATGAGAAGTATTTCTTCGTCAATAAGGCACTGAAAAGTATACAAGGATTTAAATTTAAAACAGGACTTTATAAAACTGGAAACTAAAATTATTTTAAAAAAATAAAAATTATGGTACAATTAAAATTTTACTGGCAGTAGACAACACTCAGAATTTACAGGAGCAGAACCCATATACATCTTTTTTTGGGTATCTTAGCATAAAAGCTAAATGAGAAATTTTATTGCCCCCACAGCTCACCAAACAAAACAAACAATTCTTTATTTGACGTAAATAACAAAGAGTTTAACACCGTGGGTATCTCCTCTTTTTTTCTGTGTTTTCATATTTGTCATGGTAAGAAAGAAGTTACAAAACATTTACAAGTATAAAGGGCACTAATGAGAAAAAAAATGAATTTTAGAAATAATTTTATTCTGGGGCATACAGAAACTTGATATTTAACAGGTTTGAATAGGAAGCTATAACTGGCTCCGGTAAGATGATGGTGCATTTTTTGAAACACTTTCTTCTAAATGCATTTTTCTGTCATGAAAGCAGATAAATTGGTGATCAGAATTTGCAAGATATTTTCCTGTGCATAAAAAGCTAGAGATTGTAAGAGCTCAGTGTCCTTAACCTGAAGAGGAAGATGTTTTGCTGTCTCAAGATTAAAATGGCTTTTTTTTTTTTATTTGATTTTGAAAAGAGGAGGAATAATCCCTCTATTTTACTGTTCCTGAGACATGAATGTTTGTAAAAGTGGGTTTTACAGTCTCCTAGTTTATGGAACACACCAGTATGATCACCTATAGGACACAGAATTTAGTAGTGATGAGATTCTAAACCCTGGAAAAAAAGAGATGAGGAGGAATTGAATGGAAATTAGGTGTTCACTAGCAGTAACTAACTAGAGTACTGTGCCCACTTTTGGAAATCACATTGCAAGTTCTATATGGATCAGCTAAAGAGGACTGAGAAAAGAGCAATGAAGATGATCAGAGGTCTATCAAGACTAATAAACAAAGAACTGAAAGAACTGCAGAAATTCAATATCCAGAAAAGAAGAGAAATACTAAAATAGTCCATAAATACATTAAGCACTGCAATCAGAAGGGAATCCTCTATATGTATATGGTGGCAGAATAAGAAGCGAAGGCTTTAAATTTTGGCAAGGAAATGCTTAGGCCGGAGTATCAGAAAGTTGTCTGTTTTTCTGCAGCATTAAGGATGGTTAAAGCATTAGTACAAATTGCCTAGAGTTGTGGAACCTTCGTCTTTGAAATCTCCTAAGAAAAACTTTGGTAAAGCTCTATGAGGAACAGATTAAGTATGTTGATCTTGCCTCGGGGTAGAGAGATGGAGTAGATGATCTCTTGAAGTTCCTTCCAACCCTATCTTTAACATTTCTCTTTTAAGACAATGCATCACCTGCTCAGATAGCACCCATTTGCTCCATTGTTGGTACAGCTGCAGAGTTTCCTATACTTCAGTTTTTGAGACGTGCAAACAAAAAGTCATTCACAGCAGTCAATATAAAAGAAATTGCAGTGATTAAACAGTAAATTTCCTATGGCTATTTGTACGCTGCCTGAAGCAAAGAGTTACTACTGTTGTCAGCCGACTGTACCTGAGGTGTCAGTGCAGCATGGAGAGAAAAGCAAACTGTCATGACTTTGATCACCTTACACGTTCCCAGTCAAAACATGTGGAAAGTGGTAGGTAGGAAGCCTCACAACTCATATTTTTATATTTTTGTTAGAGGAGGAAAAAAGTGACTATCACTATTGTTTACACAACACCTATGTTCATGGAAGAATTTTGTTGTTTTGTGCATCAGCAATGCAAAAACTCTTAAAATTTCTTCATTGTCAAGAGAAGTATGAATACACAGGTACGTATGATTGTGCTTGGTGTCTCTGGGTGAAGGACACAAAATCACCCCCCAAAAAATCACACAGGTACAACCTGCAGAATTGCTTCTGACCCAAAGAATCTGCAACATCAGAACCCACACTAACTCAGCACTTAAGGCAGATGCTGGAAATTCAATTAAGAACGTAATTTTTCAGCACTGTAAAGACATTCTGTATTTTGTAATCCTTTCTTTATGTCTTTTTTCCCACCACCTTTATCTGGAATGAAAGAAAAGAATCAGTATTTTTTAGCTTTCCTGGAATGGCTTTCTTCTGCTTCGGAGAGAAGAGAGACAGTGTAGTAACACAGTCCTGCTGCAGACAACTTTTATATATCTGCTCATAAGTCACATAAGTTGCCTTGCTTACTGACTAAATATTCAAAAGGAAAATTTGGCTTGTTTGATGTTTTGAAGAAATTATTAGGGTTTGATAAACACTTCATTATCTGAAATGCTTACTTTTTTTTTTTAAAAAAAAGAAAGAATGGTATGACAAAACAATACCTGTTTATGTACAGGAGAATCTGGTTCCCTCTAGTGGTTTATTATAAATTAGCACTGGTCCAGATAAGGATATACTGACAGCAGCACATGGTAGGAAAAGAAGTATTTAGAAGAAAGTCAAACTCCACACCATCACACAAACTATACAAAGTGCCCAAATCACCTTCTACCTTCTGTCCCCAAATCCTTTCAACCAGAATCTGGAAAAACGGTATTTTCAGTAGCAATGACTTCTGCTGTTTTCAGAAACTGACTGTCACTTCCACATATGCAAAAGTCTCCCATAGTATTTGTTCCTTCTGGAATCTCACCAGTTACTGCTTTCTCATCATAGACTAATTGCAGATAATGATGTCTAAAGATAAATGGAAGCTACTGCATGCTTCTGTGCCATTCCATATACAGTATTATGATGTAAAAAATTATAAAAAGATACTATCTACAAATAGTTTTATAATTAAAAAAATAATAATCTAGCATTTTGCTTTACCACTTGTCATGGTTTAACACCAGCTGGCAACTAAGTACCAGGGAGCTGCTCGCTCACTCCTCCCCACCCTCCCCCAGCAGAATGGGAAGGGATAGGGAGAACTGGAAAAAGGTAAAACCTGTGGGTTAAGAACAGTTTAATAATTGAATAAAATATAGTAGTAATAATACCAATAATAGTAGTAGTAGTAAGTAATAATGAAAATGGAGATAAAGAGAGGGAGGAATAAAACCCAAGACAGACACGTGATGCACAATACAATTGCTCACCACCTGCTGACCAATGCTCAGCCAGTCCCCGAGCAGCGATCGGCCCCTCTCGGCCAACTCCCCCCAGTTTATATACTGAGGATGATGTTCTATGGTATGGAATATCCCTTTGGCTGGTTGGGGTCAGCTGTCCTGGCTGTGCTCCCTCCCAGCTTCTTGTGCATCTCCTCTTTGGCAGAGCAAGGGAAACTGAGAAGTCCTTGACTTAGAGTAAGCACTACCCAGCAACAACTGAAACATGAGCGTGTTATCAACATTGTTCTCACACTAAATCCAAAACCACAGCACTCTACCAGTTAGTAGGAAGAAAATTAATTATATCCCAGCCAAAATCAGGACACCACTGAAGGAAGTCAACTTCCTCTTGTGCCTAGTCATCACAAAAGAAAACACTTACTAAATGTACATACTTGAAACCTTTCTCCTGTCTAGGAAGACTCTGCAATTTCTTCTTGAAGACACTTATTATTCAGCATGGAATGGAAGCATAATAGGATAGACTTATCATCCAACATGGAAAAAAATGTTTTACTATTACCAGAGATATCATCATCTTCATTCCAGCCTGGGCGATTCCCTCTTTCTTCCACTATAGTGCCTGTCTTCTTCTTTAATAAATATTGGCGCCCAATTGTCATCTTCCCAGCACGCTTTGCTCCTTTCACAATGCTTTTTGAGAAGATACTACAAATTCATAGCAACAAAAATATTTAGAAAGATGCATATGATTCTCCCTGGTAGCATGTACAGATTTTTATGATGAACCCACTTAAATAAAATGTGTTTCCTAATTTTTCATTCAATATAATGACAAAAATTAAAACCTCCAGGAAAATTACTTCCTATATTAATTTTTAAACACCAATTTTATTGTTTTAAGACAAATTTGTCTCTACAGTGTCCAATGGTAATGAATAAGCAGCCATCATCTTTCTTTCGGTATTTGTATTTTGCTAGCAATGTGATAAATCTACAAAGTTGACAAAGTAAAGGCAGAAAAGATAGAAATGACATTAAAGTTTTAGGATTCCATGACTAGCTTGGGATTCTATTTTCTTGTGTCAACAATGCAATAATCAACAGAGAATCACAGGAACTACCACTCTGGAACAGACTAATGATCCATCTAGTCTAGCAAAAATTAACGTATAACATAAACTTCAAAAGAGGACCCAAAGCTCAAATTCTAGATTAAAAAACACTAGAGGAATGGTATGGACTGTGCTAAGGGTAAAACTAATTCTAACCCACATTAGGTTATTAACCTAAGTAATACACAAGAAATCTGGGTTTTATGTTGGCATAGTTTGCATAGTCAAAAATGCTACTTACATTGAGTGTGTTTCAAAATGTAATGAGATGCTTATTCAGATTTACTGCAGCCAGAATTTGGATAAATAATATATTCCCATACCAAATTGACATGTATATCATACTAATCTACCTTTTATTCAGTAAATATAAAAAGATGCAGAATAACAATCAGTTACTACTTGAATGTTCTGCATTTCTGCAAAGCTGCCAGATTGTTCAATGTATTTGACCAATACTAAACAAGAACATCAGTAATAAAAGAAGAGTGACTATACCGGAATGAAGTGTTCTTTTCTTTTTGTTTTGGTAAAATTATCTGTGGGGCTGTTTGCCCAGCTGCAAATGCAAAAGTGCTGAAGATCGATTGAGGATAACGGAACTTCATTAACTGTTTCTTAAATATTTCCACCACTTCAGGACTTACTTCTTCATCAAATGCTACTTTAATTAACTGCATATTAAAGACATAACATGTTAGAAATGGAAAAAAATTTACAGAATTAAAGAAATTAAAATATCTTAAAATATATTAGCAAAATCCCCATACTTATGCAGTACTATGCCCATCGGAAAATACAAATATATGTACATATATCTTACTGATTTTGAGGGATATTACAAAGGTTATTAATTTTTTACTTAATTTTTACATTTATGTCCTAGTACTAAGGTATTTTGATGAAGAAGCATCTGGAATTCTCATAATATCAAACACAAAATATTTTGGTAAATCCAAGTAGTAGTGCTGGCACTAAGACGTCTACAACAGTTCAAATACTAGTCACATGGGACAGCTTAGCTTGGAAATACTCTGCCAGCTCTGCCCATATACTGGGAACTAAGGTTGGTAATGCACTTCAAAGACTCTCATCAAACCAATAATTTCAGCATTCATACGTCACAACCATTACACTTCCATTACTTAGTCATTCCAATTTTTGCTTGACCTTGCAAAGTATAGAAAACTGCTAATAATAAAAATGTAATAGTGAAATCTGATCCTTAAAAAGGAACTAACCTTGTGCTACTCAACAGTGATCCATCCACCCCACTGTAAATGCCCTTTGAAAGGTTTTGGTGGGGGTGGGGGTGAAGAGAGAGACAGAAAATAGGTAACCCATACAAGGGCCCAAAAGAACTTTAAGAATGTGGAAAAAGCAAAGAAAGAAATATCTTTATATCTAGAACTTTATTTCTGAGACCATACCTATACACCTTTTGAATGTCTTTTGCTTGCCATCTAGAAGGTGGATTTCATCATTGCTTTTTTAATTTCATTTGTTTTGTAAATACTTTCCAGATGACTAATAACTGTCTTGTTCTAGGACCTCCCTGAAAGGAGCTCTTGAATCTTTAGGGGTTACACCGATCTGAAGTTTTAAAGACATTAAATACCTTAACTGCAGCCAAAACCTTCTGAAAGTCATAATTAATAAACAGAGACAAGGGGTTATTTCATACTTTATTGAACTCTAGCTGTTACAAAGGGAACAGAAAGTAAACTGTTTGCTGATTGTTTTCATTCTCATAACCTAATAGAAAACTATGCTAAACAAAAGCAAAGATGATGTTTGACTACAATCCAGCACTAAAAACACTGTGCTGTGTCTGTATTTAGCACATCGCTGAAGCATGTCAACTATTCTGGTAAAAAGATTTCTGGAAATTTAAACTCTTCATGAAGTCCTCTCAAAAGTCCACAAGGACAACTTTATTTCAGTTGTTTTACTCACTTGTATTCCTAATCTTATGCTTTTGAATAGGATATTGAAGGATGATTAGCTAAATAATGTCCATTATTGGAAGGAACTAGTAAAATGCTGCTGATCTACTTTATTATGTTTTCAAATGTTTCTACTTTATTATGTTTTCAAATGTTAGAGTTATTGTTCTCAGTGAAAATATACTTCTGCAGTCAGCCAACCCAACAAAATATTTCATATCTTAAGTACTGCAGTCCACTTTCCATCCATTATATAAAATTCTTGCCTTCAACTTTCCATCTGTTAGGGTTTGACCACAGTTAATATGACCACCAAGAAGAAACATTTCAGAAGTCTTCAGAGACTTCATGACTTCTAATTCTTAGAAGTCCATCTCTGTCAATTGCTCTGCAGAACATGCTTCTGCTGAACATACCGAGGCGGATCCTACAGACAGGAAACTACCAGACTCTGTGCAGAAGTCAGGAAAGTACCAGGATCTGTGCAAGTCATATGGACATTCATTTGTTCTGGCCAATGGTGGCCAATACCCTAAAGATTCCTGGAAGTACAGCTTCCATGTGAGACATACCACGACTTTCTGCCATGAACTTTTACAGAAAGCTGGTAAAGTGACAAGTCTTGAGAAGAAAGCAATACTTACAGCTTCTCCATATTCATTCCATGTAGCTGGAGGAGTGAGAAAGCATGTTTCCACTGGCCTGCCTATGCCTCTATTTACTCACATTAAAAGATTTTGGACCTAAAATAGCCCTTTACTGGATCCAAAATAGAAAGGTGAGCAAAGGAGTAAAAGAAATCAAATATGAAAATGGTAACCCTCTGTAAATATCAACTGGGCCAAGAAATGCCAGGGTTTCTGTGACAGAACTGCATTCTTTATTGCTTTTACAGGGCAGAAAACTGAACTGTTTACAAATACCAGGACAAAGTGCTGCTCATAAGTATTTTGAGCTGACTGTGTTGTGACAAATTTTTACAAAATTTCTTTTCACCTGAAAGGTAGCTGAAGTGATCTGCAGTCCTTCCTGCATACTCTGCTGCAGCTGGTTCTGAATAGTGATCTTCTTCTCCTTTGTAACAGACGCAATAGGAAAGCTCCGGATCACCGTCTGCTCTCCAACTGAGGACCATAAAATTGTATTGACAGATACTTGTTAGATCACAGAATCAGATCTGGTTTGGTCACATTGTACTTTGAATACATAGCAATGAGTAAGTACAAAGCAACACAAAAATAACAGTACAGAATAATTTCAGACAAAATACCTGAAAAGCTGATAAATTCCTAAAGTATTTTTTGTAATCTGAATTTCTGCTTAATTTCAGCTGAGATGATTAGAAAAATATTCTCCTTCCTTCTGAGTCTTTCTACATGATGAAAATGCACCCCCAAAATCTATGTTGGTAGGGGATGAAGAAACAATCTCAAACGTAGTCAAATTTCATTTTGCATTATACAATATATAAACAACAAATAATACACAATGATGTCTTTACATACGAGCACAAACTTTCTGCAATAAATTTATACTTCTGAATGACAATCTGCTTAGCAATGGCAGATGTCAAAATATGAAAATTTATCATTCAGAAGAGCTATTTCCATTAGATATTAAAAGGAATATGGAATTTACTAACAATCATTTTAGGGAGAATACTAACTCATGAATATTTTTCATTTAACACACTTCCAGTGGCTAAAAAAAACCTGTTTAATGACAAGCTAAGGGTACTGGAAGCTGCAGATCTCACACAGTATATATGTTCTCTCTTAGTGGTGAAGAAGTTTACAAATGTTCTGTAAAGCAGCACTATTAGACCAACTTTACAGATGGAACCGAGATATACTAAGCATTTTGTCCATTTGAAAGTCTATCAAAATTACTAAAGTATGGTCAGGAATGTCTTTATTTTCTGTCTCCAACTTTAGGTAGTCCGTAAAAGCCCACAATACCACATGACAGCCTACTGAAGTTTCCTCTAACACAAATACATATTATGATTCTATATTACATAAATTACTGAAGACAGCACTCTAAAATACGCAGGAATAAACAAACATTTAGCATCTAATGCCTCATTTGAAGAAATACGTTCTAGTTAAGTTAATGGCAAAATCAAAATCAATCATTGTCATACCTAGTGATAAAAACCTGTATTAAGAGATTATTTGATAAACATGAAAAATTATACTGTGAGGTATATACATTTTGATGTTGATGCTTGAATAGGTAGATAGGCCAGTTCAAAGCTCTGCCTATGTGAAGAACCACAATTATCACTGTTTAATTTTTCTTACCCAGTTGGTCATGAGGAGTGCCTTTAAATATAATTCTGTAAGTAGTAAGGAACAAAGCTCCTTCAGCAGGGAGGATGTGAGGACCTCCAAGCAGTCCTCCTGTAGCTTCCTCTCTGCCATCAGGATCCAGTAGCACACGGAGACCTTCACAAACAAATTCTTCTCCTGGCAGTAAAGTTGGTCGTAGAATTTTGGGCTGATGCAAATAAATGAAAGTGTAAGTGTAATGGCGATACCAGTGTTATACCTCAGGCTAGTTATATTATTTGGTTTAAAAAGCTTCAAAACAAAATTGTTATGAGATTGAGTCCAAAGAACGGAGATGGAGTTTGGACTCAACCAAGAGAAATGGGTCTCAAAAAACAGTGGGCATGCAACAGCTTGTTTATGATCAGAAGTTTGGCTCTACTAGTTTCATATGTTCGTATTTCATGAGACCAAAGCCAAGCACTTTATTTATCACTGGCGGAAACTTTCTTTCAATGTTTTGATGTTTCCTCCTAACATTATGAGAGGGGAAAAAAAGATGACTAAATTGCATGATTCTAATACTTGTAAAGAGTACAAATATGTTTCATAATACTTGCCTTCTGTATTGGTGGAAGCCGCCTACTCTCACGATGGACAGCTTCCAGGGTCTCTATGTGCATTGCCACAATGCCTGGAAAGCAGTAATACCATAAATGAAGTCTCACATAATATTAAAGAGGATGTTGCAATCTAATTAAAACTCTGATATTCTGAAATTCTCCAATTTTAAGATCAAGGGAATAATTATTTGAAATTCAACAGCAATTATCATCCAGAAAAGAAGTCTAACCTAACTTCACTGAAAGTAACTGAAACTAAGAAGTGCATTTCTCTCACTAGAAAAAAAAAAGAAAAAAGAAAGATTACAAACCACTTTTTTGTTACAATTCTTACCTGGTATCATGCAATGCAGACCCTTGATGTGATCCTGTGTAACTCCACTCTCGGTACAAACCTTGTCAATAAATCTAGTGATGAAGCGTACAACTGCATTTGCAACATCATTGTTCTCAGAGTCCTCAAATCCACTTTCAGTGTCGTAACTCTCCGCAACACTGCCTGCAATACTATAGACATAAATAAAAAAAATGTCAAGTGAAAGTCAGCTGATGATGCACATATGATACCTGGCTAGACACAGACAAGCTGTAGTTTTTTTAACAGTTACAACACATAAACCTTGCTAAAGCATATGGGGGTACCACAGGTACATTGTATTTTCACTGTCATTAACACTATCAGGACTGCATGGATGATGACATAAGAGAACTTTCCCTCCATGAGTCCAGCACAGACAGGCCCACAAGAGAAAAAAAGCTGCTTGGAACTGAGCTCTATGTCTTCTCTTCATAGAGTCAAGTACATTGTCAATGACATAGACAGTGGGATCGAGTGCACCCTCAGCAAGCTTGCAGATGACTCCAAGCTGAGTGGTGCAGCTGACACACCTGAGGGATGGGATGCCATCCAGAGAGATCTTGACAAGCTTGAGAAGTGGGTCTGTGTGAACCTCATGAGCTTCAACAACGTCAAGTGCAAGGTCCTGCACCTGGTACAGGGCAACCCCAGGTATCAATACAGGCTGGGGATGATGTGATTGAGAACAGCCCGGTGGAGGAGGACTTGGGGGTACTGGTAGACGAAAAGCTGGACATGAGCCAGCAACTGTGATTACAGCCCAGAAAGCCAACTGTATCCTGAGCTGCATCAAAAGAAGCGTGGCCAGCAGGCTGAGGGAGGATATTCTCCCCCTCTACTCCATTCTGGTGAGACCCCCCCTGCAGTTCTGCCTTCTGCTCTGGGGTCTCCAACACAAGAAGGACATGGACCTGTTGGAGTGAGTCCAGAGGACTTTCACATGA